CCGTTCTTTCCGCCCCTCGCGTCGATCGTGCCAGATCCCTTGAGAACCCCCTCGGAACAGGGAAAGCACGACGAGCGGTTTTGGTGGATGTCCCGTCCCTGGGGGCCCTGGCCAGACCCTGGGGCGGTCAAAACACGACTCGCGATGAGCAGCCGGTCCCGCGGAATGGGTCGAGGCCTCTGAGGGTCCACGTTGTGACATCGGCGCTTCAACCTTGAGATCCAGGCGTTGTAATTTCTTCACTTCGCACCAGGAATGTTCGCCTAGTTTCGGGCCTCGGGACCATCACAGTTAGATCTAGTTTGAAGAACGCCGCAGAAAGATGGGTTCGAAATAGAGAAGCGGCCATGATTTTTCCACGATGTCGCATTTTTTCGCGAAGTCGGATCTTAGGGTTCCGCCTCTGTACGCCCTGGCAAAAATGGCCTGCAGTCAAGCTATGGTTTACCACCGAGCGTGGATGACCTGCGAAGTGCCGCACGGCTCCAGTGGCTCGCGAGGTCATCCCAGGCTCGCTGTTTGTGTATGTGTATGTGTGTGTGTTTGCGCTTGACCTTCCTCCTGCTTTCGAGGGTCCATTAAAAATCAATCGATCCGATTCGACAGCGATTTCTGCTGGCCCGATTCAATTGGATTCCGATCTTCCGACGAGCGGGTGCGGCCGGATGTTTCCGTGGCGCTGTTGTGATCCTGGCGTTGCCGATCCGGTTCGATTCCGACTCCGCGCCGATGCACGTTCCGATTAGATGCACGTTCCGATTCGATCCTATCTACCTCTTCGATTTTGATGGATCCTTCATTCTCCTTCCTGCTTCCTGCTCCGCCACTTGCAAGTAGGTGGCGGCCATCCCTTTGTGACTTTCAGGATGTGCCCTGCTGGGCTCTGCACGGCACCTCCCTTGGGGAGCTGCCGCAGTCCTCTCAGGAGACAGAGTTCTTCTATCCCCCGGCGAGAACGGGCAACGGGCGTGGCCGGAAGGGGGGGGGGGGGCTGGTCACGCCACGATTGGCGCCGGCGCCGTCTGGGAATGCTTCAAAAGATGGCTGATTCCCGGACGGCGCCGGCGCGAATCGTGTTCTGACCCGGGGGGGGGACGGCATAGTCGCGGGCGTTGTCGCGAATGATACAAGAACGGGCTCCAGTGTTTTTCCGATGGTCAGAAGCCAGGCGAAGGCTGGCAAACCCGTGGCTGCTAAAGCAGAGAGGTGTGTCTCCTTCCAGGAAGCAGCCCGTTCACTATCTAGTGCGCTGAGTTGTATTCTGGGAAATTGTTCCCAACCCTCCTGCGTTGGGTACTCGTTTTGAATAGAGCACTGCGGTCTCCACTCCTTCCTCCCGTCTCCCTCCACCTCTCTTCCCTCCTCCTCTCCCCTCTCTTGCTTCCCTTCTCCTATCTTCCCTCCTCCTCTCCTCCCTTGCTCCTCTCTTCCCTCCACCTCGCCATCCCTGGGTGGCTGCGATCTGTGAAACTGTCGCCACTTTCGAGGGCTGCTGTGGGGCGAGCAGAGTGACGTCTTACGGGGCTTCAGATTAGACCTCGCCATCGCTGGGGGGCTGCGATCCGTGAAACTGTCGCCACTTTCGAGGGCTGGTGAGGGGTCCAGCACAGTGGGTACTCACCGCAGACTCAGATTAGACCTCGCCATCCCTGGGGGGTTGCGATCTGTGAAACTGTCGCCACTTTCGAGGGCTGCTGAGGGGCACAGCACAGTGGGTACTCACCGCAGACTCAAATTAGACCTCGCCATCCCTGTGGGGCTGCGATCTGTGAAGCTGTCGCCACTTTCGAGGGCTGCTGAGGGGCCCAGCACAGTGGGTACTCACCGCAGACTCAGATTAGACCTCGCCATCCTTGGGGGGCTGCGATCTGTGGAACTGTCGCCACTTTCGAGGGCTGCTGAGGAGCCCAGCACAGTGGGTACTCACCGCAGACTCAAATTAGACCTCGCCATCCCTGGGGGGCTGCGATCTGCGAAACTGTCGCCACTTTCGAGGGCTGCTGAGGGGTCCAGCACACTGGGTACTCACCGCAGATTCAGATTAGACCTCGCCATCCTTGGGGGGCTGCGATCTGTGAAATTGTCGCCACTTTCGAGGGCTGCTGAGGGGCCCAGCACAGTGGGTAGCCACCGCAGACTCAGATTAGACCTCGCCATCCCTGGGGGGCTGCGATCTGTGAAGCTCGAGGGCTGCTGAGGGGCCCAGCACAGTGGGTACTCACCGCAGACTCAGATTAGACCTCGCAATCCCTGGGGGGCTGCGATTTGTGGAACTGTCGCCACTTTCGAGGCCTGCTTGCGGGGCCCAGCACAGTGGGTACCCACACGCAGATTCAAATTAGACCTCGCCATCCCTGGGGGGCTGCGATCTGTGAAACTGTCGCCACTTTCGAGGCCTGCTGGGGGGCCCAGCACAGTGACGCCACACGCACATTCAAATTAGACCTCGCCATCCCTGGGGGGCTGCGATCTGTGAAACTGTCGCCACTTTCGAGGCCTG